TTAGTGATATTGAGCGCCTTTTCATATGCCTACTGACCATTTGTACCTTGTTTGTGTTCTTTGGGAAAATGTTTACACATGTCCTTTGTCTATTTTTATTTTTGAAAGGACAATAAATCAAAAAGGTTTCATTTGCGTATAAAAAACAATGCCAATAAAACTCATTTCATTTTACTGTTACTTGGAAATTTTTTTAGTTCACTGTAAGAGTAAAAACCAAAATATTCATTTATTTGGAAGGCAAAGTAAAAGAGATAGACAGAGACAGAAAAAGACAAAGAGCAACAGAGAGAGAGAGAGAAATCTTCCATCTGCTAGTTCAGTATCCAAATGGCTGCAAAAACCAGCAGAAGCCAGGAACCTGGATGCTTCCCAGGCACATTAGCAGGGAGCTACATTGAAAGTGGAGTAGCTTGGACTTGAACCATTGCTTTGTTGTGAGATACAGGCATTCTAAGCTGCTGCTTAAGTGGCAACAACATCTGACCTTTTTTCCTATTTTTTTAATTTAGTCATTTTATTTTGTCTTATTTTTGTTATTGAATTTATGAATTTCTTGTATCTTTTTGATATTATCCCCTTAGCAGATATATGGTTTATAATATTTTCTCCCACTTCAAAGGTTCCCTTTTTTATTGATTATTTACTACGTAGAAACTTTTAAATTTGATACAGTCCTGCTTATTTATTTGTTTTTAGTTCCTGTGCTTTTGATGTCATACCCAAAAAATTATTGCTAAGTCCAGCATTAAGGATCTTTACACTTATTTCTTCTGTGAGGATAATGTATAAGTTTTTGAATTGATTTCTGTGTCTAAAACAAGGATCTGACTTCATTCTTTTGCATGTGGATATCCAGTTTTCCTAGTACCAGTTTTTGTAGAGCCTGTCCTTTTCCCATACTGTACATTCTGGCACATTTGTTGACGATTTAATTGATTAACAGATACGTAGGTTTATTTATTGGTTCTCTATTCTGTACCATTTGTGTATCTATCAGCTTTTGTGGAAGCAAAAATACCTAAAAGATTTTAGGTAAAAAAATTAAAAAAAATTTAGATTTTAGGTAAAAAATACCCAAAAGATTTTTTAGGTATTCCATTAAATCTGTAATCATTTGGGTGGCATGAACAATTTAATAATCTTAATTCTTCCCATCCATAATATGATATTTTTTGCATTTGTTTGTGTCATCTTCAATTTCTTTTTTATATACTTCACAGTTTTTAAGATACAGATCATTCACTTCTTTGGTTTTCTTTTTCCTAAGTGCTGTATTCCTTTGGATACATTTGCAAATGGGTTGTTTTCTTAACCTTCTTTACAGTAAGTTGTTGTATAGAAAAATAATTTATAGTACAACTCATTGAGGACAGAGGTCCTACATAGGGAGTAATTGCACAGTGATTCCTGTTGTTTATTTAACAATTGACACTCTTATTTATGATGTCAGTGATCACCCGAGGCTCTTGTCATGAGCTGCCAAGGCTATGGAAGCCTTTTGAGTCCACAAACTCCATCAATATTTAGACAGGGCAAAGTGGAAATTCTCTCCTCCCTTCAGAGAAAAGTACATCCTTCTTTGATGGCCCCTTCTTTCCACTGGGATGTCACTCAAGGAGATCTTTCATGTAGATCCTTTTTTGCAACCGTGTTTTGGCTTTCCATGCCTGAAATACTCTCATGGGCTTTTCAGCCAGATCTGAATGCCTTAAGCTCTGATTCTAAGGTCAGAGTGCAGTTTAGAGCATTTGTCATTCTATGAGTCTGCTGTGTATCCTGTTTCCCATGTTGGATCATTCTCTCCTTTCTAATGATATCTATTGCTATTACTAGATTTTGGTCTTATTTATGTGATCCCTTTGACACTTAATCCTAATGCCATTTTACATGTTAAAGTGACTGTATTAAGTGTGTAACTGATCATATAGATAGGATTAAATGTCATAGAATTTTTTATAGCTAAATAATATTCCATTGTGTATATATACCACATTTTTTATCCACTTATCTGATAATGGACACCTTGGTTAATTCCATATTTTGGCTATTGTGAATGGTTTGCTATAAACATGATGGTGCAGTTATCTCTTTGATATGATGTGTTCATGACTTTCAGGTGTATAGCCAATAATATATATGGGATTGCTGGATTATATTGCAAGTCTAATTGTAATTTTTTTAAAAAAGCATTTCTTTTTACTTAGTCTAACAATGGGTTTGTCAGTTTTGTTTTTTTTAAAAATGACTTTTTGTTTTATTTATCCTTTCTTTAGTCTCAATTTATTTATTTTTGTTCTGATGATTGTTATTTCCTTCCTTCTACTGATCTGGCATTTAGTTTATTCTTTATCTTCTTGTTCCTTGAGTTTCATTGTTAGTTTGCTTATTTTAAATCTTTTTACTTTCATTCTTATAGTTTGTCGCTCCCCCTCTTCGTGGAGGAACGACACTAAACCCTGCCTAGGCTTCATATCCGAGTCACGGCACCATTATGTCGCTCCCCGTCTTCGTGGAGGAACGACACAGGACCCTGCGCTGTTCTTTCGTCTGCTCGGCCCTCCCCGGGTTTGCTGCTGGTTCTTCCCGGGTTGGCTACTATCCCTTCCACCTCCGTGGAAGGGCAGTTCCCCCTGGCCGCATTCCCCACTTCCGCAGGGGAGCGGCACACCGCCGGCTGGTTCTCTCGGGGGCTGCACGGGTTCCCTTAGATGTTCCCCATAGATGTTCTTGGTGCATGCCGTCTCTCTCCTCCTTTATAGTCCTCCTCCGCCAATCCCAACTCGGCTGCCCACATGCCGAGTACGCTGCTCTCCTCCAATCAGGAGCAAGTCCTACAGCTCATTAGTTGAACTCGAGGCAGCTGTGCGGAAGCTGTTTACTTCTCTCCCAACGCCATATTGTGGGAGAGCAGATGCATAGAATAAGTCTTAATTCGAGTAACAGTCTAGTCCGGATTGCTCCCCACATAGTTGAGATTTTATTGGTTATGTTGAGAATCAATGCACACATGTTTTCATTGTATCCAATCTTTATCATATGTGCCAAATGTCTAGAACACCATGTGTTGATTTTTTGAGTTAGTTCAGCTTCAAATCTGCTGTTACATTTTCCTTAAGGGTATATCAAATGCCAACATTTTCAAATGCTTCATAAGTTTTTATGAAAGTCCCATGAATTTATAATATGTCATAATGTACACCACATATCAAATTTCCAATATTTCATAACAAAGTAACATAATTATTAGAATAACTGTACTACAACTAAAGATGTTAGAGTGTGCACACAAATCTGACAGAGTGACAATCATGGAATGGTTTTCTTTAGGAAACAATTTTATTAAATAGCAACATGGGAGCAGAAGTAATTGAAAATGTTCAAGTCATATTAAATGTATAATTGTGACTCCAAATTGCCATTTAGTATGCTTAGTATTATAGGATATAAAAACTATGCCTAATATGATATGTTAAAATGAGAGTCGAGATAACCCAAGCCACCATAATTCAACATTGCACTATTTTCTAGTTGTTCCAAAAAATGAACAACTATAATGATTTCATCTCTTGAAGAAAACTTTATGCTTTAAAATTGTGGTGAGGTGGGATTCACTCCTTCTTAAAAATGTTTCTAGAGCTAATCACAAAAATGTTGTATATACAAAAGCATTGATAAATTCCTTGGGGGCTGGTAATGTGGCACTGTGAGTTGATCTGCTGCTTGTCTCTGACAACCCATATCAAAGAGCTGATCTGAGTCCCAGCTGCTCCACTTCTGATCCAGCTTCCTACTGAAGTGTCTCATAAGTCAGCAGGAGATGGCCCCAATACTGAGCCCCTGGCACCCATGAAGGAGACCAAGAAAAAGTTCTTGGCTCCTGGCTATGATCTGGCCTGCAAACTGCATGCCTCCCTTGGGCCCTTACTTTGTGGTGATAAATTACCCTTGTTGGATTTTCCTTCTCTGCTTCTTCACTGGGTTTTGAGTTTCTGAAGATATGGTGGTCTAGATGAAAGGGATTTTACTAATAGGAATATTTTGTTTTTTGAGTATCCATCATCAAAATGTTTAGCAATATCCTGCCACAAGATGTTCCCTGTCCTATCACATATGGAATACTGGGAAAGACCAGTATTTTATGGAAAATTTTACATACTTAATCGTAGTTTCTAAAATTGAGAAAAAAATGGCACTGCAGGCATATAGTGACAGTTTCACAGAGCTGTCTTCTAACTTTTGTAGGGCCTGCTATATTTGATTTGTTTATACCAATCAATTAAGTATCTCCTCATATCTTTTATTCTTCTGATCCTCACATTTATGGATTAGGAATGTGGCTTACTGATTTTAAGTTTCATAGAAAAATCTATTTTGGTGTAACATAGCGAGTAGTACAGCTTTGACAACAGATGAGCAATTCTCTAAGGACAGTTATCCAGGACACCTATCTCAGAGACTCCAGGAAATACCTAAGGCAGGGCTACTTATGCCTTCATATTTTCAGGCAGAGGCAGATCTATACCGTGTAGCCAACAAGGAAAAATTACCAAAAAAACCTTTCCCATATTAATTTGGGAATATGTATCATTTTGTGATGTGTACATAAGCATTCTTCACAAATATGTATTCAAATATCTCAATCTTATATCTTTTTGTACATTTAAATCTGCTGATTCTCCCTTCATCCAATAGTAGCACTATAAACCTAAATAATGTATGTGATTTTGTTTTTTAGGTTAGTAAAGATCCAGAATCAATCTTATACAAAATACACTTGTCCTCAATTTTATTTCCTGTTTCCTGCTATTGCTATCATATTACTTAACATTCAACTTTTAATAGGAAAAATGTATATATTATAGGACAATAAATTTTTCCTTACTTAAAGATTATTATAAATATTATGCTGTATGCTGACTCACAGTTTTAATTAATCTTATAGAATTTTAGAGAATGTTTTCTGGAATATTTTCATGTAATTTTTTTTCACATTTTAGGTGTACAAGAATTTCCAGAAAATATAAAGTGCTGTAAGTGTTTAACAATTATTGAAGCCAGTGTCAATCCTATATCTAAGTGAGTATAAATGATTTTACTTATATTTATGTTTCCATAGGCTAATAATGTACTAAGATTGATAAAACTCACATAATAATTGAAACTTAAATGTAGCATTGGTGCAGCATTCAGTAGAATGGTGGGAAAGAAATAACCAAATCAAGAGTTTGAAAAAAATAAATAAAAGTGTTGCTGAGAAAAAATGAAGGTCCATTTGACATAAGATGGCATTACTGTAAAGCAAATTATGTCATCATTTTCCATGGCTCTCAGAAACTATTTCATAGATGAGAGTCAAAACTAAGAGAATAGTTATTAATTATGGTTGTAGTGGGAAATTAGCATAAAGGAAATTCAAAATAGTGGAAAGGTTTAAAGAATTGATAAAGGTAAAATGAAAATAGCTTATTGTGTAGTCTGAATAAATTAAGTATAACTGAAATACAGAGTGCTTGGGTACCAGAGATTGTCACAAGAGCAAGAGATAATATTGAGAAGATAGCAACGTGAAATACATGAACAATAAAGAGGAGCTGATTAGAAGGGTGTGTGTTTGTGTGTGTGCGTGTGTATATGTGTGTGTGTGTGTGTGTGTGTGATTTAAGATCTCCTAATCTAAAAATGGCATGGAAAAATAAGACAGCATGTGACTGTGTTGTGAGTATGTTATAGTGTCAGAAAGCAGTGGAGTCAACTATGTCAAGAAACAATAAAGTGAATGCATTGAATAAGTTATTAACAATGAAAGTGAAAAGTTCTTCAGAGGCTGCCTACAGCAGTAGCAGTATTTGGAAGAGTTTGAAAAAAATCAATGGCAATAGAATGCAGATAACAGGTTTCATCGTAAGATGGCATTTTAATTATGTAAAGCTGATGGTAGAATTTGAGAAAAGTCCTTTAGACCTTTGTCCACATGAAGTTGGGGAGGTTGAAATAATCTGAAATTTATGAAAAGTGATGTAAAATGGTATTTTCAGAAGTTACGAAGAAGTTTGTCAAAGGGAAGTTGATGGAAAATTTTATGTCGGTATTGTTGAGGAGAGAATATTGAGGAAGGTTTTCTGTGGCTCATGGAAACGGGGTTAGATGAGACAGGGAATGAAATAAAATACATTTAGATGGAGATCTGTACAGTAATTGGTTTATAAAATAATTTGAGGCCTTTATAAAGTAGAAAGTGTGCAACATCAAGTAGTAAAACGTGTTTGAAAGTTGGAATTTTTCTACCTTAAAAGTGAACTATCAAGGGGAAAAATCCAAAGCAAAGACAAAATGCTAAAAAGCTATTCCATCACATAGATCAAATGTAATTTTCTCAATGTATCAATGAAAAAGCTGTTACTAACCTCTCTTAGCAGGAAAATATTCCTTGATTTTGGTCATATTACCCAGGACAGTTGATAAATTGGATTGTTTTGTAATTATTTAATTCTATTTGTTCATCTTACTTATGAATCATGGTAGATCTTGTAGTGAAAACCAGATGTTAAATAAATCTTCAAGAAGTTTAAAATCTAATTTTATTATGTCATTCAAGTCTTTCATGTTTTTATATTTTTAAAAGTAAAAAACCTATTTAATAAAAAAGATTAACACTATAAACATCAGTCTTGGAATTCACAAAAATTAATAGAAAGTCAGTTTAAATAATACCTTAATTTTAAAGTCACATTTAAAATACATAATGTAGATGCAGCAGAATTAACTCATTTAGATGTATGGTTCAGGTTACTTTAATAAATATGTAGTCATGTAACCATCACCATAGTGATGCTATAGATTATTTGCCTTAACATAATTATTTTAGCTCAACTATTCATTGATCTGTTACTATCCACATAGTTTTGTCTTTCCTGAATATAATATAAATATGTCATACTTTTGTGTGTGTGTCATACAAAGTATAATAACTTTATATTTTTCCATGTTGTTTCGGTAATTGGTACTTCATTACCGTTTTTTACTGGGCAGAATGCCATTGCATAGATAACATTATTTGTTTAACTACTTATCAGCTGATAGATATTTGAGTTGTTTACTATTTCGACTTCTATGAACAAGGCTGATACAAATTATTTAAGGAGTTTGTATAAGCATGCTTTTATTTCTATTGTGTAAATACCTAGGATTAAACACTTATGAATATTTTTCTGGATAGTATAGTATGTGCATAAAAATTTTCAAACTATTTTCCAAATTAGGTATTCAATTGTACATTCACAGCAGCAATAAATTAGAATTTCAATTGTTTCTCATCTTTGTCAGAATTTGCTAATATCAGTTTTATTTTTTCTATTTTGACCATTTAACATTTAACACTTAATAACCAATAATTTAATAATCAATAATTCAATAACCAATCATTTTAACATTTTTAATGTCTATCATCTTGCCATGTATTTTTTTAAGCTTTTATTGATTTGAAAGTCAGAGTTAGAGAGAGAGAGAGGACAGAGAGAGCTATGTATTTATTTTAAAATCTGTATTATTCCTTTGGTAATTCTGATCTCTTGTCTATTTTTATTGATTTATCTTTTCATTAAAAATTATATATTATGCCGGCGCCATGGCTCAATAGGCTAATCCTCCACCTTGCGGCGCCGGCACACCAGGTTCTAGTCCCAGTTGGGGCGCCGGATTCTGTCCCGGTTGCCCCTCTTCCAGGCCAGCTCTCTGCTATGGCCAGGGAGTGCAGTGGAGGATGGCCCAGGTGCTTGGGCCCTGCACCCCATGGGAGACCAGGAAAAGCACCTGGATCCTGGCTCCTGCCATCGGATCAGCACGGTGCGCCGGCTGCAGCGGCGGCCATTGGAGGGTGAACCAACGGCAAAAGGAAGACCTTTCTCTCTCTGTCTCTCTCTCTCTCACTGTCCACTCTGCCTGTCAAAAATAAAAAAAAAAATAAATAAATAAATAAAAATTATATATTATGAATAAAAGTATTTTAGCAGGTATTTTCTTTAAAAAAAGGCTATTCTATGTCTCCAATCTTTTCATTTTCATAAGAAACCCTCTAAAAGAGAAATTTTCAGTTTTAATGAAATCCTATCTAGTAATATTTTTGTTGTTTATGTTGCTCCAAGAGAGCTTTTCTAAATTCATGATCACAATAGTTTTACCCATCCACCTTCTGGAACTTTTATAGTTTAGGATTTACACATAAAGTCTATGATTCATTTTAAGTTGATTTTTATGTATATGCAAAGTTTAAGCATCATAGACTTTTTTTTTTGTATAGATATCCCATTGATCCAATATCATTTTTTTAAAGTATCCTTTTTTCATAGAATTGTTGGTTCTTTTGTTATAAATCAATTGATCATATACATTTGTGTCCTTTTCTAGATTTTAAGTTTGCTTCTTCAATGCCAGCAGCTGAGTGAGAGTGAGGCTCCTAGCAAGAAGAAATAATGTAATGTCATATAGCTGTGGAATTGTCCTCCCATCATATTTACCACATTCTATTTGTAGTAGATCAAATCAGAAATCAAAGGGAGAATATAATACAAGGGCATGAGCATCAGGAGGTTAAGGATCATGAAGGGTCTGACGTATGTTTGCTGACAGTGTTTAGTATCAGTGCATGTTGAATGTTGTCGAAGTGTTTTTTTTTTTTTTTAGTGTCTTTTGAAATGACCTTATGGTTTTCCTTCTTCAGTCTCATCGTTTGTTGAATAATATCTATTGAGTTTTGAATGTCATCCAATTTTGAATTCCAGGAGTATACCCTACTTCATCATGAAGTTCTGCTGTTTTTTATATACTCATGGCTCTGATTTGCTAATATTGTTAATATTTACCATATAAATTCATGAGGCATTTTTAGCTAGGCGTTTAGTCTAAAGTTTCTTTTCTTGCAATTTCCTTGGTTTTGGCATCAGAGTAAAACTGACTTCAAACAATGAGTTCAGAAATGTTTTCTTCTATTTTATATGAGCTTGTACAGAATTTGTATTATTTCTTCCTTAAATATTGGCAGAATCTGTACAGTCATCAGGTCCTGGAGTTTCTGTTATGGGAAATTTTTTGATTACAAATTGAATTTCTTTGGTAGCAATGGAGTTATTCAAACTGCATACTTCTACCTGAGTTATCTTTAGTGGCTTATGGTTTTTGCTTTTCAAGAATTTGTATACTTCATAAAAGTTCTCAAATTTATTTTTTTCTTGATTAATATACTAGAGATATATCAATTTGATTGATCTTTTTCAAAAAACCATGTTTGGGTAGCATTGATTTTCTGTTGCTGTCATTGCCCTAAGAAATCTACAGTTTAAGCCGTGAAAATCCTAGAACATAAAAATTCCAGTTTTGAGGGTTATTGTTGTAGCTTTGCCTCTGAATATGAACTTTAATATCACTTGAATACCTTAACTAAATCACTGGTAAAAGTTATCACAATAAAACTGAACATAACTGCTCAATGAGAAAAATAAGGGCCAACATTTACTGAGAACCTACTACCATGTCTTCGGCTTTTAGATACATTATTTCATTTTAATTTCCACAGCAATCTCATTATGTAGATACATATGGTTATTACATATTTTTTACAGGCATGAATGCCTAAAGCCAGTAATTAAGTTCCTGGGTTCATTTCATTATGATTCACTGTATCTGAGGAAGCATTTTTAATTTGAAATAATGTAAAAGATACAATTTGAAAATATTAAAGTATTCTTTTTAATTATGAGTAAATTAGTAATAAAATATTGTATTCTGGGTAGATATGAAAGTTATACATTGAATGACAATATGCCTCTATTTACCTGAATCATCTGATGTTTAACTTCTTAATGTAGCATATTTAAATGCTTTTTAGGGAGTCAAGAAGACAGAGTAGGAGGAAACAGAGAGCTACCATATGACAGACAGCTTCCATCCACTATTTCACTCCACAGCTGCACACAACAGAAGGAGTGCAGGGGCTTAAGTTGGGAACAAGGAACTCCGCCTAGGTCTCCCATATTTGTAGTAAAAATCCAGTTACTTGAGCCATTACCACTGCTTTCCAGGGT